CCCAGGAGGGTGCTCAGCAGCACGGACATGGGACTCAGTGGTGTTCCTTCCTCCCTTTATGGCAGGTGAGACACTGTGTGGGACGGGCTGGAGCTCCAGCTTTGCCTAAAAAAGGAAGTGGCTCAGCTGGGCTGGAGGATCCGGCCGGAACAAGCGGGAACTGTGTCCCCGCCGCTTCCACCCCCTCGAAGGGAGTCTTGGCACGGCAGTGCTGGCTCAGCTCCACAGACCTCAGGCCTCCGCTGGGACCAGAAACGGCCTGGTGCTTCTGCCTGGGCCCTATCGTTGGGGGGGGGGGGTGCGCAATAGGCTTGGGCCCTTGAAGTCCAGGGTGTGCCTCCCAGGGGGGCCTTGTTTGGCCCCCGGCCCCAAAGCACACAGGCTGACCGGGACCGCTGCTGCCGCTGGGGACAATGAGTCGAGGCCATGGCCAAGCAGAAGCAGCTGGAGGCTGGGGCTCCCACCCAGAGCCGACCCTGGGGACCCTGGGGTGGAACCACCCAGGTAAATGTGAGCAAACACTTCTTGGTTCATCCTCTGTCTCACTGGGCACCCCCGGCCAGGGGCGGGTCCTGGGCCATGGCGGACCGCCCTGGGGCAAGGCTGGAGCTCCCCAGCTTGGCCCCCAACTCCCCGTGTAGCAGGCAGGCCCCAGCCCCACTTCGGCCTGTGCTGCCGGGACAACAGGGAAGTTTCCGTCCCTTCTGGAAAAACTGAGCGGGTCTTCTTGGCCATGACTCAGGCCCTCGAGGAAGCAGCTGCCCTCCTCCCTCCGGCCTCTCCGTGAGACGGAGAAGGGATGAGAGGCCCAGTCTTCGGACTGGTCTGCCTAGGGCCTCTGCCCAGACTTGGCTGAGCTGGCCACCAGCCCTGGTACATTCTTCCTCCGCTCTGCTCTGTCATCCCTGCTGCTCGCATGGAGCTGACCTCTCACCTGACCCCTGGGAGGGCTCCCCCACCCCCGCAGTGTGGCCAGCTTTAGTCCCAGCCCCTGCTAGGCCCTGAGGCTTTCCTGCTGCATCAAGGCAAGTCTCATTCCAGCACCCTGCACTTCCCCACAGGAGACTCAGGCAGAGGGAAGGTTCCCAGGGAGCATGGGGGTCAGCCAGGAGTGTTATAGTCGGGGTCAGGGCTGGGCTTGAGGCAGACGCCAGAGGAAGCACAAATATAATTATCCGGAAACCTCCTCCCTCCCCTAGGCTCACCCAGCCCCTGCCTTGCCGCCCCCCACCCCCCCGCCCGGCTGAGAGCCCCAGAGCATCACTTCCTGGTGCTGGCCCACCCCACCCGCTGCTGCACAGGCAGGTGGAGGGGCTTCTGTGAACCCTGGGGACACGGCTCTCTGCAGGCCCTGCCCCCACAGGGTCCACGGGAACACTCCTCCTCCACACAGTCCAGGCCTCTGCAGAGAAGAAGGGCCCTTTGTCCCCAGCTCACTGTGGTCATGTTGACCCTAGGGAAAAGGGCAGCTCCCGGGGCCTCTGACCCCAGCCCGAGGGCACTCTGGGCCTGAGGGGCAGAGCAGTGTGTGTCCCCACCCTACCCAGTGGGGTGCCCTGTGCCTGTTTTTTACATGTTTGTACCTCACATATGCACACACTGGGGGCACCGAAACAGGAACAGGGGCTGCTGTGGTCCTGAGGCAGGGTGTGGGACAAGCCAGAGGCCTTCAGAACCCACCCGACAACAGGAAGGGGGGCAAAGGGAGGGGGGCCAGAGCAGCAGGGCCCAGAGGTCCCTTCGGCCCCCCGCCCAGCTGCCACACCCACCCTTGTCTGACTCCACTTGCCTGTTTATGGTCAGGGACATGCCAGCATCCAAGGGTCTGGAGGTCTGTCCTCTCATGGCCCAGGAGCCCAGGCCTGCCCTCTGTGGTCGCAGAGCTGGCAACAGCAGAGCGGGCAGCCTGGGCAAGGGGCGGGTACCACCCTGCCTGCCTTCATCCCATCAGGTCTCTGCAAGGACCCGCCAATGCCATATTCTGCTCTGGGGACACGGAGACCTGTCCTCCAAGGGCTGCCAAGCTGGATGGGGGACAAGCAGGTGTGTGCCTGCCAGGATGCATGTCTACTTATTTTCCCTGACAAGGGTGGGGCCATGTCAGACCGGGTGGGCACGAGCTGCAGAAGTGCTGAGACCCTAGGGAGGCAGCTGACCGGTGTGTCAGAACAGTAAGGAGGCCCGGCTGGGGGTGAGAGGGGGCAGAGAGGAAGGCCGGCATCCAGACTCCTACGTTTCTGGCCTGTAGAGACCTGAATATTGGGCCCCTCCTGAGGTGGGACCCCAGCTTTGGTTCCCTCTGCTGGAAACGTCTGCCACAGGGAGCTGATCACCAAACCCAGCCCCAGCCCCAGGTACAGTCCAGTCCAGTTTGGATTCGTAAATAGAGACTGGGGAGGGACAGACCAGTACCAACACTTTGGTGGGGGGCTCCACAGAGGTCAGGGTGGGGCCCAGGGGGCAGGAGGGAGGAACTCAGCCCTCAGAGGGAATGAACTGGCCTAATCTCCCAGAGCCCGGCTAGCTGCCCCCAGGGTCTGAGGGTGACACCTGAGCGCCCATCGCAGGAAACACTCTGAATGAATAAATGACCTGGGGCAGGTCAAGGAAGCTGACAGAGGCTCATCTCCCCATCCGTAGGGTTGGAACGATGACTCTGCCTGGGGTGTTTGGGAAGCAGACAGACGGATACGTGCACATCTACACAAACATGCAGTGCACACACATACACACACCCACGCACTGTGGAGACCCCCATGACCAGGTACACTTACAGGTCAGGGGCCTGGGCACCTGGGAAAAAAGCATTTGTTGCCCAAAATAGAGATCTGTGCCTGCCCCAGCAGTAATCCAGTGCCTCAGCCCTTGGCTTTCCCAACCGACCCTCTAAAAGCAGACCACTCGGCCCCTTCTGTTACTCCCCACTCACCCACCCCCCTCGCAGGTGCTCCTTTTGTGAGTGGGTGGGGGCAGAGCTGGGGCTGAGGCAGCTCATCCCTGGGGTCAGCTGGAGGCCATGCAGGGCCCCTGGGGCCGGCCTGGGAAGTTGGGACACACCTTAGGAACCCTTGAGGCTTTGGCAGCTGAGTTCCCCACCAAGGCCTCCCCCCAACCAGGCCCAGCTGTTGTTTTGATGACACTGGGGCCAGGAGGATCCTCAGGAGGGCCCTCATCTCCGAAGCCTGGCCAGAGCCTGCCCAGCCTCGGGCAGGAGGGGAAGGAAGGCGACTTCAGACTAGGGGAAGCTAGCCTTGGGCGCTGGGCAGCAGGCCAGGCTCCTGTCTGACTGGGCGCAGACAATTGGAAAACCCCAAGAACTCCTGTGGGATCTGAGCCGGCCACACACTGCGCTCTGCCCGAGGCCACAGAATGAGCCTGAACCCGGAGCCCCGATCTTCAGGCACATCTGAGTCCTGACCCTGCTGCTCACACACAGAGCCTTGCCGGCAACAGAGGATGCTAGATCCTTTTTTTTTTTTAAAGATTTTATTTATTTATTTGACAGAGAGAGATCACAAGTAGATGGAGAGGCAGGCAGAGAGAGAGAGAGAGGGAAGCAGGCTCCCTGCCAAGCAGAGAGCCCGACGCGGGACTCGATCCCAGGACCCTGAGATCATGACCCGAGCGGAAGGCAGCGGCCCAACCCACTGAGCCACCCAGGCGCCCAGGATGCTAGATCCTTGAAGAGGCCTTTCGGCTACCCCTAGATTCTGGACAAATTACAAGAAACACATTTTTGGTTTGCTTTTTTTTTAAGTAATCTGGGGGCGCCTGGGTGGCTCAGTCGGTTAAGTATCTGCCTTTGGCTCAGGTCCTAGGATGGGCTGTGTCAGGCTGCTCTCTGCTAGCAGGAAGCGGGCGCCTCCCTCCGCCTTGTGCTCTCTTGTTCTCTCTTTCTCTCAAATAAATGAAATCTTTAAACAAATAAATAAAAGCAAATGCCTTTATAAAAAAAAAAATCTGTACATCCAACGTGGGGCATGAACTCACAACCCTGAGACCAAGAGTCAGAAGCTCTAAACACACACACACAAAGAGTCACACGCGCTGCTGACTTGAGCCAGTCAAGTGCCCCGAGAAATAGATTTTTAATATACTGCTGGGCTTACAAATAAGTAAATATCTTCGAGGCTCCCCCCAAATTAAAAGCACTAAGAATACATAAATAAACAAACAAACGCGGGAAGATGAAAGGAAACAGGTGGCATAGCAGGGAGGCCCGCGACACAAGGACGGCGACGCGCACCTGCCATTACCGAAGCCCGCACAGGACCGAGCAGGGCCCAGGTAGGGCCGCCTCGCAGAGGGACTCCTTCCCGGAGCGACGTGTCCCCAGGATGTTCACAGGTGCGGTGGACAGGGGAAAGGAGCCACCGCTCAAAGAAACAATACACCATCAGTGAGCCTCATCGAAACAACAAATAACGGATTTGGACCCCCCCGCCCCGAGAGAGTAAGACATCCTGGCCGTCAGGTGTTACAAAGTAACCATGCGGGAACTGCTCCCACATGGAATCTGGAAGCAAAACTGGAACCTAAAAACTGAACGTGCGTGAAGAGACCGTCACAAATGACGAGATTTGAACAAGAATTAACCTCTAGATACGCTAATGAAAGAACAAAATTAAGTGACCGTGTTAATTGGCAGATTAGACTTCACCCAGCAACTAGGGAAATTTGGAAGACGAAGAAACTGGCCGGAGCGCAGGACAGAGTCCGGGAGTCGGAAACAGCGAGCGAGCGGGAGGCCCGCCTGGACACACCGCCGCGGGCGTTTCCGCGGCGCAGCGGCCCGCGGGGCGGGGCGGAGCGGGACGGCGCGGGGCGGCGCGGGGCGGCGCGGGGCGGCCGTCGGAAGCGCGGCCTCCGCTCGGGCGCGTCTGGCGCCACCTCGCGGCCGCCCCACGCGCTGCGCACGGAGCCCCGCGGGTCTCCAGGCGGGCACCCGGACGCACGCCTCGAGCGCGCAGGCCCGGGCTCTCTCACGGGGCGGGCCGGGGCGGGCCGGGGCGGAGGCCGGGGGCCCTTCCCGGCCTCGGGAGTCTCGGCCCCGGAGAGGCCTCCAGGGCTCACACCCAGGCGCAGAGCGGCTCGTCGCCGTCGGGGTGGCGTCCCACTCGCCCACGGTCGCGGCGCCCAGCGCGGCGGCGGGCTCCAGGGCTCCAGGCTGCGGGCGGCAGCAGCGCGCGGAGGCGCCGAGCCAGGCGGGCGCGGGCGGCCGAGGCAAGCACGAGCAGCGGAGGCAGCGAGAGGAAGCCGAGGACGATGAGCGCCGCGGAGCCCCTGTCCGAGAGGAGCGCGCGGCACGCGGGGCGGGGAGCCGGGTGAACCTGCGGGCGAGGCGAGCGGTCGGGCGGGGCGGGGAGTGGCGGGGCAGCAGGTGGCCCCGCGAGGCCTGGGGGCGGGGCCCGGAGGACGGACGGGGCGGGACTGCGGCCCGGGGGCGGGGCCGAGGCGGGGCCTGGTAAGGGACCGGGGGCGGGAGCAGGCGGACCAGGCGGGGCGCGGGGTCAGTGCGGACCCGAGGGCTGGGGCCTGGGCGCGGTTCTGAGGCCTGGCGGAGGGGGGTGGCTGGAGCCGCCTGGGGCCAGGCATTTTTGAGTCATGAACGGGAGGTCCGGGGCCCAAGCGGCAAATGCCCCGAGTAGGAGACCCTTGAGGGGAGGCTCAGAAACTTGTTCCCCGGTTGTCTCATCGCGGCTTTCCTCCCGTCTCTGCTTCCCCGGGGCCCTTCCCCAGGTGGGCATCGGACCTCGAGCTCCTCCCCGTGTCTCTCCCCAGAAGGCACCACCGTCCCTCCCGCGGCCCCGTCTTCATCCCCCTGCCCCACCCGCCCGCCCTATGCCTACAGAAGAAGGACCCAGGGCATGGCTACCTACATGCTTGCCCCTTCCTTAGACCAAGCCATAGCCCATTCCACACGGGGAAATCCAGCCCAGGGCAGGAAGGGTCTCCTAGTAGCTGTGGGGACGGGTAGGGGCGGTGCCCTGCAGAGCTTTGGCCATATCTTCACCTTCTCTTTCTGGAACCCCCCTCCTCTTCCCACCATGCCCAGCTGTCCAGGCCCTGGTGGCCCTTGGTACAAGGCTAGGGGCCTCCCAAAGGGAGGGAGCTGTCCGCTCCAGTGACAAACAAAAGCCCTTTTTCTGTGGCTTCTGGGTGGGGGGGGGTGCCTGGCAGAAGAAGGGGCTTTCCAGGGAGGGGCACATGTGTCTCTGGGACAAGGGGTCCATGCTGAAAGGGCAAGATTCACCTACAGCCCAGGGCCCCCCCCAAGTCCTGGGGGCCCCAGCCAGCCCCCACCCTGCCCATGGAGGGCTTAGCTCACCCTCGAGTGGCACAGGAATCCCAGGTAAACGATGGCAGCCGAGGGCAGCAGCACGAGCAGGAACACTGTCGAAGGCAGCAGCAGCTGCAGCAGGAGCCCCGCCAGGGCTTGGCCAGGCAGCAACAGGGTCCCCAAGCCGTGGACAGCCAGGCCTACCCATCCTGGGGACATCAGGGCTGAGGCCTGGCAGTCAGGAAGTCTTCCTGGCAGCATGGGTGCCGAGTCAGAAGTGCCCCCTCCCTCATCCTCCTCCGTCTCCTTCTCCTGTTCACTCATGCTTTCCCAGGCAGCAGGCCTGGGGGGTTCCCAGCAGTAGTCAGATGGCAGGACCTGGGTGCCCAGGTCAGACTCCCACCCAGAGCCCAGCAACCATGGTGGACCCAGATGGAGGACAGCGCCCTGGCCCAGGTAGGCCCAACTCTAACCATCAGTCTCCAGGGCCACACCACTGCCTCAGTTTCCCCTGCTGCCAGGCTGGGCCTCTCTCTGCCAGGCAATTGCAGCTCCAGCCCTGGCTAGTGTCCCCAGCCAGCTCCTGTGTGTTCTGGTCAGGGCTTGCACAGCTGTCCTGGCCCTGGGGCCCTCCTCCCTCCCAGGCCCGCCCTCTCCCAGCTTCCAGCTCCCCCACACAACGACTTCATTTCATAGGTCGTGACTCTGACAACGGCCCCATCAGCGGCTGCTGTATTGAGGTGGCCACACACCACACTTCCCAGCCTTCGTCCCTGCTGGTGCTCTCATCCCAAGCCTGGCCTCCCTCAGCCTCAGTAAAACAGGGGCAACACTGGGTGCCTAGAATGTGGGGCTGCTGAGAGGCCACGTGAGCAATGCACATGAACCGCTTAGTGGAGGACCCAGCATACAGTAGGTGCTCAATAACAGAGGCTACAAATACAAGCATCCTTTGTGTTGGAGTCTCATCCATCCTGAAGACAGAGAGAGCATGCATTCCATTATTTCAACAGGTGAGAAAGCCTTCCCTGACCTTCTGTAAACCCCAACTTATTTCCCCAAATATCACTGAAATGCTCTTAACTCCCAACAGACATTAGGTTTTTCTTACATAGCACGCAGCATTTTATTTTATTTTTTTGTTTAAGATTTTATTTGACAAGAGGGCAACAGAAGCAGAGTTGGTAGGGGGGAGAAACCGTCTTGCGGCTGGGCAGGAAAACCAGCTCTTTACCAAGACCCCAGGATCATGACCTGAAGGTGGAAGCAGACACTGAGGACTGAGCCACGCAGGCGTCCCAGAGGCCTTTACACCAGGTGAAGCAGCATGCTTTGTATCTTGTCAGAGAGAGAGTATAGGACTAACCGAGAAGTCTGCAAAAACTTCAGCCAACTAGAAAGGCACACCTTTGAAATGGAGGCAAAGTCAGAGAGGTCGGTCCTAGGCTTTACTAAAAGCTGCTAAGGACCAGATTACGGAAAAAAACTCCCAAGTTGCAAAAATGCCCCCATGAAGCTGGAGAAGTGGGCAGGACAGACGGACATGGGATGTGGGCCGCAGTTCAGACCCCGGACCTGGAGGTAGGAGGCTGGAGAAAGCATGGATGCCACGTTGAGTGCATTCACCAAAAGCCCTTGCTTCCCAGTCGGTCCCAAGAATGCAGCTGCTTTCCTCAGACAAGGTAGCAGGCAGCATTTTATTTTATTTTTTTTAAGATTTATTTATTTGACAGACAGAGATCACAAGTAGGCAGAGAGAGGAGGGGAAGCAGGCTCCCTGCTGAGCAGAGAGCCCACCCTGGGATCACGACCTGAGCTGAAGGCAGAGGCTTTCACCCACTGAGCCACCCAGGCGCCCCATCACGTGGCCACTTTAAACAGCGCTGACCTAACTAGCTGACACTTGGGAGCAGCTTGCCTGCGTGCGAGCTGAATGAACAAACTGGAGGGCATCAGCTAATGGCTCCCTCTCACGCCTTCTCCGCCATGGGCTCTATTGCTATCCAACTTTTCCTCTGACACTTTCCAGCACGTGAGTTCCCTGCAGACACATGTGGATGGTGGATGGCAGCGGTCGTGCACGTCGGGGCGAAGGCATGAAGCCTAAGGCAGGCCCCGGTGAGGAGGTGAGCGGAGGCTCCCTGCAGCCCACGCCAAGCCCTGTTGCCCGACACACACGCGCGCGCAACTGGATTATTTTCCCAAGTACACACGTATCCAGATCTTATGCTAGCTGTTTGCTTATTCAGATACAAATAATTTAGGGTAGAAAACGGTGCAAATGATAACGTTCAGACGCAGAGTTCGGGTGGAGAGGGTCCCAGCCTGCTTCTCACAAGCTCCCGCCTCTGCTCACATCCCTCTTGCATTCGTTCAGTCACGGAGCAGACACTCGCCGAGCTCCCGCAGTGGGCCATGACTGCTCTAGGCTCTGTGGACCCAGTGGTAAAGGAGGCCAGCGTGGCCTCTGCTTTGTAGGGAACAGCTCTGTGTGGGGGCCCCGGCAGGCCTGCGTGAATCCATACCTGAGTGAAAGGCAGGGCTCTGGGCTGTGGCAGGAGGTGGGAGGACCGGCCATGCAGCTGGCTCCCGTGGATGTCCGCCTGCAGAAAGGGCAGGTTCTAGGCTTCCCTGGCTCTTAGGGGGGTGTGAGATTTTCCACCAGGCTCCCAGGGGTCAGCGAAACATGGATGCAGCTTTTTGGCAAGAGCCCCCCTGTCCCCCCACCCCTCCAGCTCACCCCCTCACCCCCTGACATTTGTCAAGGGAAGCAGGGAACAGACAGCTTTGATCTCTTGATTTTTCTGGCTGCTTAAGTGGTAAACTATGACCTGAAGGCGGGCGCCCAGCTGACTTAGCCACCCAGGCACCCCGGGGAGGCGCCATTTGAACAGAGTGACTGAGGCTCACGGGATAGAGTCCATGTGGCTTGGGGGGTGAGATGGGGCCACTCAGCCCCTTGCCAGAGATCCACCCTTTGGATCTGGCACCTGGAAAGGCTGCTCTCAGGGTGGGGGTGGGGAAATGTCAGTGTTCTGCTGCCACTCTAGAGCAGGAGCTGGGCCTGGGGTGTGGCAAGGCAGGGCCTTGAGGACACCTCATTTCTGGGAGTGTGTGCAGCGATTGGGGACTCAGGGGGCTGGGAAAGACACGATCCCCCGCCCCAAGCCATGTTGCTTCCCAGTGGACAGTCACAAGAGGCAGCTAGGCTATACCGCCCTCTCCTGTCCGGGGTCTGGACAGGTGGCCTTACCCAGGGACTGGGGATGATAAGGTAGTCTCCGAGTCAGGGCCCCTGAATTGAGGTGACAAGTCCTGGAGGCCTTACTCGGGCCCTCTCCTGAAGCGCCGCTTCCCATCCTCTGGACTTGACTCTCCTAAAAATCCTTTGTCTGACTCCCTCCTCCTAGTGTCCAGGCAGGGCTCTGCCCCTTTCACAGCCTCTGCTGAGTTGCCTCAACCTGCCCTCAAGGGGCTACCTACTCCCCACAGTGTCATCCAGGCTGCTCGGTGTCCGTGGTCAGTCTTCTATCCTGGCGTGGCCTCTGTGTGGGGGGAGGGGCCCCACTTACCCTGTTCTTTTCCCCAGCCTGGAATCAGGAGAGAAGCCAAGCTCTAGCCACAGAGGTGGTCTTAGCCAGCAGAGACAGGAGTGGGGGGAGGAGCAGGGCCTGAGGGAGGGACCCGAGGGAGGCACGTGGGTGCCTCTCTGGGGCAAGTCATGGCACAGCAAAGGCTGTGGGCCTGTTTCGGCCTGCCTGGCCTTTGTCTCCCTGGAGGGAGGCCGAACCAAGAGCCCTGGCAGTTGGCAGGGGAGGAAAGGTGCTGGGGCAGGGGCTGCTGCCAGCCCACAGGGTGTGTCTCCTTAAGTGGCTGCGTAAACAGTGCAGAGAAGCGACCCATAGGCAGGCCCAGGAGACCACAGTGTATCCCCACCTACAGCTGCAGACTCAGCCTCCCAGTTTCTGGAAGCGGGCAGCGCACCTCCACACTTTCAGAAGGAGTGTCATGAGAGGGCTACCAGGCCGTGGCTTGCCTGGGAACCGCGTGGAGAGGACCCCAACTGGAGGACAGAGCCCAGGGTGGACCCCCTGGAGGGGAAACGGGGAGTTAAACCCTTCAGAAGGCTAAGTGGTAGTCTGGTCCCCTGGGGAGATGATGGGCTGGGGACACATGGGCTGGGGATGGCAAGTGGCCTCCAGTAACCATGAGGGATTCCTGTTCTTCACAGATGGACTCCAGGAGCTCCCAGCCAGGGGAGCAAGATGTGACAGAGGCAGGGGCTGCCCAGGAACTTCGGTGGGTGGAGCTGGGCTCCGAGGGCTCCGAGGGCTCCGAGGAGGCCCTGGGAGCCAGGACAGAAGGTCCCAGGGCTCCGCAAGCCGGGGGGCGCCTGCTGCAAGCCGTGTGGTGGGGTCATCTCGGCCTGGCAACAAAGCTACTGCGTCAAGGGGCCAGTGTGGAGGAGAGGTGAGCCCCGGGCGGGGTTGGCAGGGGTCCCTTCTCTGGGCAGGGCGGCAAGGGCCCTTCCACCCGCGCCTCTGCCCCCGTGCGTGCCCCCCTGGCTGCCCACAGGGACCACACGGGCAGGACCCCGCTCCACCTGGCCGTGCTGCGCGGCCACGTGCCCCTGGTGCGTCTCCTGCTGCGGCGCGGGGCGGCGGTGGCAGCTGCCGACCGAGCCGGGCGCACACCTCTCCACGAGGCCGCCTGGCACGGGCACTCGCGGGTGGCCGAGCTCCTTCTGCGGCGCGGGGCCCCCGCGGCGGCGCTCTCGGGGGCCGGCCTCACGCCGCTGCACTGGGCCGCGGCGCTGGGCCGCACTCTGCTGGCGGGGCGCCTGCTGGACGCGTCGGGACCCGGCCCCGCGGCGGCGGACGCGCGCGGCTGGACGGCGGCGCACTGGGCGGCGGCGGGCGGCCGGCTGCCGGTGCTGGAGCTGCTGGCGGCGGAGGGCGCGAGCCTGGACGGGGCCCTGACCGTGGCGGCCGCGGCGGGGCGCACGGCTGCGCTCCGCCTCCTCCTGGCGCGCGGGGCCCGGGTGGACGCCCGGGACGTTGTGGGGACCGCAGCGCTCGGCGTAGCGGCGAGCCTGGGCCGCAGGCAGGTACGGCTCGGCCTGGCTGCGGGGAGGGCGGGCTCCTCCGCCGGGTGGAGCTGGACGGGAGGGAGGGCGGGCGGCTGTCGGGGGTCTGAGAGCGGCCTTGCCATTTGTAACCTCTCTTGGGAGGCCGGTGAGGATGCCTGGCCCGGCATTCGGACTTCCTCCTGGTGACTGGCAGCAACAAATACGGAGCGAGCACCAGGGCTGTCCTGGAGTCCAGCAGGCCCCCAGGCAGCCGGAAGGGAGGCCGCGGGCTGCTTAGTCTTGGACTTTGTAGGATGGAGGAGGAGCCCTCCTCCATCTAGGAGCCCTCCAGGACTGCAGAGGTGCAGGCCCATCGTCACCCAACGGGGAAGCAGCAATGAGAAAGCGGCTGTTGGGTGGGAGAGGCCAGATGAGATGTGGGTCAGGGCCAGCATCTGCCCTCTCCTTCCCTCTTCTAGGACATGGAGGTGCTGCTTGACCACGGGGCAGACCCCAGCCTCAAGGACAGGCACAGTCGCTCTGCACTCCACAGGGCTGCTGCCGGGGGACACCTGCCCGCTGTCCAGCTGCTAGCAGCCTGGGGAGCAGAAGTGGATGCTCGCGACTTGCTGGGCCTCACACCCCTACACCACGCTGCTCGGGGAGGCCACGCAGAGGTCGCCAGCCACCTCCTAGACAGGGGAGCGCAGGTCAATGCTGCTGGATGGCTCCACAAGACCCCCCTTCACCTTGCCCTGGAGCATGGCCACGGCCCCACTGCAGAGCTTTTGCTGAGCCGAGGGGCTAGCCCCACCCTGAGGACACGATGGGGTGAAGTGGTCCAGGACCTGCTGTCCGAGGGAGCCTGCCCCAGGCACTGCCCACCCTTTGCAGAGAGCAGGAGTGGGAGGGGCACAGAGCCCCAGAGGCCCCCAGCTGGACAGAAGTCTTCCGGCTCCCAGAGTCTTCGGTGTGCACCAGTTCCTCTCTTCTGGACCGAGCCTGCCTGCCTCCCTGAGGGGAGGACAGCAGAGGGGTTCCCAGAAGAGAAGGGGGGCAGTGACTTGAGCTCCGCTAATGGACCTGGGACTGCTCCGCAGCCCCCTGGGATCACGTCTCCCCTGCAGCTGCAGCCTCCTCCACACTCTGCTTTAGTAGAGACTGAGTCGTGGCAACAGATTTGACTGAAACCTGACAGTCTCCTGTGTCCACCATGGGGTTGTCACCCTCAGCTGTTCTCGCTGTGACATGGGGACGTTCTTACTGTGTTTCCTTCATTATATCTGGTATTTGCCTGTTGGCACCCATTTTTTTAAAGAAAGATTTACTTGAGAGAGAGAAAGAGCATAGATGGGAGAGGGTTAGAGAGAGAAGCACACTCCCTGCCAAGCAGGGAGCCCGATGCGGGACCCCATTCCAGATATCCAGGATCATGACTGCCGAAGGCGGTTGCTCAACCCACTGAGTCCCCCAGGTGCCCTGTTGGCATCTCTTTATCACAGGGCTGAACTAATGGGCACAGTTGTTCACATCACCCCTGTGATCCAGGGCCCGCTCTCAGAACTGCTGTCTTCCCTCTCACAAACCCGGGTGATACACCCCCCATCCTAAATTATCTAAGATCAGGTACCAGACAACAGGGACAGGCACTATGCAACAAGGACCACTGGGATTCTCAGACAAGCCAAGGCAAACTGTTTCCCTTGCTCTGCCTTGTCTTCCCTGTGGGACCCCAAAAGAGGCTCTGGCCCAAGCTTTTTGCTCCTTCTTGCTTCTGGCTCCAGAGGACACTGGTGCCTCTCTGCATAGCACATCCTCTCCTCGCAGGAAATGCAGGTAGTAAAGAATGTTCTTCAATGATGTCAGCCTCTCCCTGTCATTACTCAGCCATCTCTGTAAGTTAAAACTCCTGTGGCACAACTGAAACAGATGAACGGTTGTTTCTGACGACCCACCTCCGGATCCTCATAGAAAATCATCACCATATTTAATTTAAAACTATAGTTTTTCTGAGAGAACAGCTTTACAGAATGGATTTCATTTTTCAAAAGTGCGAGTTCTGCCAAATTTTTTTAAAAAAGATTTTATTTATTTATTCATGAGAGACAGAGAGAGAGAGAGGCAGAAGGAGAAGCAGGCTCCCCACTGAGCAGGGAGCCAAACGAGTTGTGCCAAATTAGCACCTTGGCCCACAGGCCATGGAAATGCTTGGATTTACACCCAGGGTAACAGGAAGCCTTGAAGGAGTTTGTGTGAATGTGACATGGTCTGATCTGCTTGGAACTGGCCAAATACACAGCGGATTGCTCCCGAGGAAAGGAGGTACAGGGAAGCCAGTGAGATGGTGGCACCTCAGTAGCAGGGGTTGGGATAAACAGGCACAATCAGGCTGATTCTGTGGGCAGAGTCCCTTGGACTTGTTGACGGGCTGGACATGGGAGGGGAGGTACGAGGGGATAACAGTGACTCCTAGTGAGACCTAGACCTGAGTTGGGGGTGTCGGTGATAGACCTTTTACTCCATGGGGAGAGCAGACCCATAGGAGACAAGAGGGAAAAGGTGAGGGCTGGAATGACATCTTTGGGATCCTCACTGAGAATGGTCTCCAGAGGTGCAGGATGGCCCTACACCGAGCTGGCCAGCATAACCCATGGGCTCTACTTTCAAGGCACACCCAGCACCCAAGTGCCTCTCACCTCCTCCACTGGGTCTGCTATGGCCCACACCACCATCGGTTGCACATGGAACATAATGTTGCCACAGCCCAGCCAGCTCCCAGCCCAACTGGTCTCCTTGCCTGAGCCCTGGCCTCCCCACAGTCTTCCCTAAACAGCAGCTAGCAGCTCATTTAAAAAGTTGGTGGTGCTACTTTCCCACTCCAAATGTCCCCACTGACTCCTCCTTTCGTGAAAGCAAAAACCAAATGTGGGATATTGTATTGCTCAGATGCCCCAGTGACCTCACCCAGCTCACATGTTCTACCGTGGGATCTCCTTGTGCCTCCTGTGAAAATTAGCAACAGAGGGGCGCCGGGGTGGCTCAGTGGGTTAAAAGCCTCTGCCTTCAGCTCAGGTCATGATCCCAGGGTCCTGGGATCGAGTCCTGCATCGGGCTCTCTGCTCAGCGGGGAGCCTGTTTTCCCCCCTCTCTCTGCCTGCCTCTCTGCCTACTTGTGATCTCTGTCAAATAAATAAAATCTTAAAAAAAGAAAAAGAAAATTAGTAACAGAAAGCCTCACTAAAATGTAGCTGGGAGGCTCAGGAGAGAGGACGCCCTCCGGCCCCCCCACTCACCAACTGCTGACCCAACAAGAAGAGGGACTCTGCAAGTGGGTGTTACTTCCACTACCCCCAGCAGGAGGAAGAGAGGCTTTCCTCGTCTGCCCAGCAACAGCCCAGCCAATGGGGGGACTGTTACAACCTAGACAATGAGAGGCTGTCCAATGGGAGACAGCCATAATTTAGCCAGTGAGAGACTTTCACAGCCCTGCCGAAGGGAGGGGCACCTGGGTGGTTCCGCTGGTGAAGCCTCTGCCTTGGGCTCAGGTCATGATCCCAGGGTCCTGGGATGGAGCTCCACATCCGGGTCCCTGCTCACTGGGAAGCCTACTTGTCCCCCTAACCGTCCCCACCCCCGCTGTGACCTCTCTCTCAAGTAAATAAAAAATCTTTAATAAAAGAAGACAGCCACAATTTAGCCAATAAGAAGCCACTGTATTTCAAACTCTCAGTTTACTCCAGGGGACTGTTTGTTTGCAACAGCCCTCCCACCCCTTGTTTTCTTTATAAAAATCCTCCCTTGGTTGTTCTCCTGGTGTTGGAGAAGCTGGCTTGTCCTGGATTGCAATTCTCTTATTTTTAAAAAATTTTTAAAAAGATTTTATTTATTTACTTGACAGAGAGAGATCACAAGTAGGCAGAGAGAGAGAAGTGGGGAAGGAGCAAGCTCCCTGCTGAGCTGAGAGACCGTAGATCCCAGGACCCTGAGATCATGACCCAAACAGAAGGCAGAGGCTTTACCGCTGAGCTGCGGGGGCGCCCGTGGCAGTTTTATTTGTAATGTTAACACTCCTACCTAGAACTGGAGTCCGTGTCTCTGTCCCTTGACACTGAGTGAACTTTTTTTTTTTTAAGATTTTATTTATTTATTTGACAGACAAAGATCACAAGTAGGCAGAGAGGCAGGCAGAGAGAGAGGAGGAAGCAGGTTCCCTGCGGAGCAGAGAGCCCGATGTGGGGCTCGATCCCAGGACCCTGGGATCATGACCTGAGTCGAAGGCAGAGGCTTTAACCCACTGAGCCACCCAGGCGCCCCTTGAGTGAACTTTTGTGACTATCTGCGCTGCTGAAATGATGCTGTGTGGCTCTCCAGGGTGAGCCAAGAAGGCATAAGGCACCGGTATCACCTTGCCCTTTAGCCACGGTGTAGGGAATGACGGCCCTGAAGCCACCACGCAGCGAGGAAGCCTGAATGCAGCATGTACCCGCCCATCTCTGAGGTTCAGCGGCCCACGGGACGCTCATCCACCTCACTCCCACCACACTGGCTGTTTTCCTGTTCCTGACCACACCAGGTGTACTCCTGCCACTAGTCCTTTGCACTGGCCGACTCCTCTGTCTGCTGCTCTACCCCCATAGATACCAGCCTGTGCCTCGGTCACTTCCTTCACTCACCACCACCCGCAGTGCATGCGCTAACACTATTTAAAATTGTGCCCCCCAAAAGAGAAAGCTCTTCTTCAGGTAGAATGCCAGGAAGTATGGGAAGAATGATGGGGTTAGAAAATCAATGAATGAATACAGATTTGCCAAGAAATAGGAAATGTATGTTGTCTCAAAGTGTGGTGGCCCTGGAGGGGTGCTGCTCACCCGTTCCAGAATGCGCTCGTCATTCCGGTTCACGTCCACCACAGCACCTCTCGGTGGACTGTATACTTCTCCTGGTGGCCCCTGACACAGGCTGAGCATGCAAAGTTACTGGGGTCTCCCATTTCCGCCCAACACAAGGCATCCTAATAGCAATGTTTGCTCACAACGACTCTGTGAGTTGACAAGTTGTCTGACCTGCATCCTATCTGAGGCCCTCCCTGTCTGATCCGGATTCCTCTCCCTTTTTTTTAAAAGATTTTATTTACTTGACACTGAGAGCATCTAGACCACAAGCAGGGGGAGGGCAGAGGAAGAGGGAGAAGCAATCTCCCTGCCGAGCTCCATCCCTGGACCCAGAGATCACCACCTGAGCCGAAGGGAGACGCTCAGCCGACTGAGCCACCCTGGTGCGCCTGCTTCCTCCCTCTCAACAAGACACCTCTGCGCTCCTACCTCCATCTCAGGGTCTGCTTACAGGAAACTCTTAATGAGTTACAAAGTATTTCTCTACGAGATACTACTTACAAGCATAAAAAGGGTGGAGAACCCTGGTAAACAAAACCTTGAGTCAAGTGGTCAAAGCTGAAAGCACCCAAGTTGGGACAGGTTGCCATCCGGCTGGATACTATGCATCGACAAAGACACAGTATAATTTCCGTAGTATTCTGCCAAAAACGTACAACCAGACTCTAATGAGGAAACATCAGATTCAAATTCAGACACCCTACAAAATAACTAACCTGTACTCTTCAAGAATGCTGGGATCAGTAAAGAAAAAATGAGGATTGGGGGCGCCTGGGTGGCTCAGTGGGTGAAGCCTCTGCCTTTGGCTCAGGTCATGATCTCAGGGTCCTGGAATCGAGACCCGCATCGAGACCCGCATCGGACTCTCTGCTCAGCGGGGAGCCTGCTTCTCCCTCTGCCTGCAGTTCCCCCAGCCTGTGCCCTCCCTGTCAAATAAAGAAACATAATCTTTAAAAAACAATGTTTAAAAAATGTAGACCGTTGGTGCTTTTGGGTAAAGTGCATGGGGAGTTCCACGAAGTAGTCTTGCAACTTTTCTGTCATTTAAAAAGTTAAAAGAAATTGCCCCCTCCCATTCTGCCCCCGACTTCGTTATTTTTCATTTTAACGGTAATACAGCGGTAAGGTGGTAAAACACAAAACTCACCATCTGAGAGATTCCGTTTTACGGTAAGTGCTGCGGAAGCGAGCACGCGTCCTGACCATTTTCAAGTGCACAGTTCGAGGGCGTTCGGCACCTTCACACGCTCAGGCAGCCTCAGCGCAGCCGCAGAACCTCTGCCCCGCCGGGACCCCGCGCCCACTGGCGGCCGCGCCCCCTACCCCCCCCCCCCCCCCCCCGCGGACCCCGCGCCCCCCGCCCTCTCCGCCCCCCGCCAGCGGACCCCGCGCCCCGCCCAGCGGACCCCGCGCCC